CTCCATGTCTAGTCTGCCTCGGCTGCTGGACCGGTTACAAGGAATTTCTAACGGGGGAGGTTTCTGCTCTGCGCACTAATTCCCGCTGGCTGCCGGGCTCCCGGGCCCTTCCCTTGCAGAACAGTAGCCAGGCCCAGGGCTGGGCTCCCGGCCATCCCGAGGGGGCACAGGGCTGGAGCCGCTCCTGCTCCGTTAGCAGTGCAACCCCGACAGGCAGGGCCGGCCCTTGGATGAGCTGACACACAGGAAGCGCCGGGGCCTAATGAGCAAACTTGTTAATTTTCCAGATGACGGAGCAGAGGAAGCAGAAGCAGCGCATCGGCCTCCTCGGCCACCCCCCGCCCATGAATGTGAACCTGCAGCAGCAGCCGGCCTAGGCCAGGGGGTCCCGGCCCCTCCCCGACACCCAGAGCATCCCCCAGCTCCGGGCCCACACGAGGCTGCTCCCTGTACCTTCTGTGCATCCTGTAAATACCCTGGTTTTATACTGTATGTATATGACTGCTACTCTATCCAGCTTGGGGCGTACGGAGTGTAATTAGAACTGCTGGCACGGGACAGAGGTTAAACTTTGTGCCAAAACTATCAAAATTGCCTTTTTCTTGGAAGGACTAAAGAGAGCACCTGAATTGCACTTGAAAAGATTATTTGACTATGTGACATGTATTTTGTATTTAAAAGAAAAAATAGAATAGCTAGTATTTATGTTTTTATACAATTGTGCAATATGAATTATGCAATCACAATATATTTGGAACTCCTGAATGTCCTAAAGGGAGTGCACATCTTTGGATCTGGTGTGTTAGTACAATGTAATAAATGGTATAAAATTACAGGTGTAAATGAGGCTGCTGCAAAATTGTGTAACTGGTGATTTTTCATACCCTTGGACATTTTTGTACCATGTGTGTAAATATCTTGCAATGCCATATCTGTTGCCTCTTCCTCCCAGAGATAACGCTGGGACTCCGTGAGTTGTTCAATTGGTATCAGGTAAAGCAAAACATTATTTTGAAGCTTCCAAATGAGGAAAGCAGAGGAGGTATTTTTCAAGAGACTTCTTTAGAGTACTGAGGCTAGAAGAGCTCAGACACCGGGTTTTTTAAATGCTAAGATTTCTTAAAGGGAACTTTTTATGCAAAATGAAGTTTGGGATGAGGATGCACTGCTGGCAAGTCGGTGCAGTCTCCCAAAACCGATCCTGAGGCTGTCCAGGCTTTGCATTCTCAGTGTGTAGGATCCTTTCCTTCTATTTTTTCATTAGAGACCTACGTGCCTGCTAAAGCTTTAGCAAACAGGCATTGCACCGACTGAAACGTGTCCTGTAGCTGAGCACTGACGTGTGTAATGCTTGTGTGAGAGCCACTGGTTTGAGGCTGGTCTGTCCCACCCCTTCCTCTCCCTTTCCCTTTCCATTCAGTCACTTACTTTGGTTTCTGATTCTCCAGAGTGTGAAAGGAAACTTGTCGGGTTGTTGTTTTGGTTTTTTTTTTTCCTCCAATCTGTTGCATAGTTTTATACATGGACCTCATTTTACAGAAGCTGACTTCTTGCAATACTGTCTACAAAAAAAAAAAAAAGAAAGAAAAAAAGCTACAGACAGAGCTATGAAAATTTGTAAATGCATAAATATAGGTATTTAAATAAATGATGCAAAATACTCTACGGTCAGAGGCTGCTGGTGGTTTGTGTCCCTCCGAGGAGGTGTGTGGCGGTGGCTGTCGCGCTTCCCACGCGTCGCGGGGGCCTGGCAGGTAAGGACGGGGCTTTTCCCAGAGCCCACAGGGGCAGAGGTTGATTATTTTAAAACCAGAGTGAGTGCTTCCTCCTCCAGCAGCGAGGGGCACTGGCACCCAGGGAACCTCACCTGCGGTCACCTCGGCTGGGGATACCTCACACTGATAGTTTAGGCTTGTGGTCCTCAGGCTGGAGTCTGAGAGAGTTAAAAAACCTTCCAGCTCCAAGTATGGTGTGCACAGGAGCATTGCTGATTATGTCTATTTGATTAAGATGTAGCAGGAACTACCTTGTACAATTAATCATCTTTAATCTGGTAAGTGCACACAACTGTCTGAGGTGGGTGCGTGTCCCTACCACGGGTCATCAGGAAAGCTCAGGATGAGGGCACGGGAGGTGGCGGGAGGGAAGGGAAGGAGGGCAGCCTGACCAGCCGTCTCCGAGCCAGAGATTTATCAGAGAGATTGGGCCTTCTTAATCACATGTATTTCCATATATATCTCCTGGTAAATCTGTCTTCCCTCTGCAGCAAGGTGTATGCAGAGGGAGCGTGACGGATGCAGCTGCCACCGGGGTTGTGCAATGGAGGAACAAGACTTCATTTTCCCTGAGCAGCAGAGACACGTATCTGACTCACTTCTTCCCTTCCTGCCATCCAGGGATGAGCAGACACACACAGATTTGTCAGGTTCCCGCAGTGCCCAGCGGTCAGGTGAGAGGGAGGTGGCTGTGCACAGCCCGAGAGGGATCCCAAAGGAATGTGCAGTATTGCCTCATCTTTACCTTAAAAAGGCAAAAGCCCCTTGTGCCTCAGCGAGGCACAGCCCTGGCCTGCCCAGTGATCCCTGTGACAAGCAGTGGGGTGGAACCTGGTGTTTGCACGGGTGGGGAGATGCAAAGAGGGAGGTTTTGTGCCTCTGGTGCAGCTGCAGTGGTGAGTGAAGCAGAGCACGGCCACCGCCCTGGCAGTGGGATGCACTCGTGTAGGGCAGGTGGGTTGGCTCTGGGGGGGTGGCACAGATGGTATCTGTGGTCACACTGCAGCCCTGGCCCGAGCAGAGCCGTGTCAGCTGCTCAGCAGAGGAAGGCGACTCTGTCTTCTTCCCCTCTGCCCACTAACAGGTCCTTTGCTTCTGCAGAGTCATTATTGCAGTGACATTTCACACACAACCATCACATTTTTCCTCTTTCTTCTTGCACTCTTTGGTTTTCAGTACTCTCTTGGACTTTTCTTTCTGGCTGAAGTCCTCTGCCCATCGTGGCAGCAGAGGCGAGGAACAGCCAGAAACCCCCTGGAGCTGGTGGTGGTTCTGACCCTGCAGCTTCCGAGGTCAGGGCTGTGTCAGGACTTTCCCATTCTGGATGGAGATCTGGCACCTCATGGCAACTTCCTGATCTCAAGGAAAAGCTGTGTGAGGGATCTGTTTAATTTCCACATTGGGGTATTCTTTTTCACAAAAGCTGAGTATCTCTTGACATCACAAAAAGCCTTATTCAGTCATTGCACTCTTAAGTGAAAAAACCCTCCAAAACATGAGATAGGCATCTGGAATGATACCTGTAGTTTCTTTAAGCTCAGGAGAGGGAGCATCACCTCTGGAGATGCCGTAAGATATGGCACATAGTTCTCACTGTCCATCTCTGCAGAGAGGTTTGCAGTGGCACGTCAGGGACATCAGACAGGGGAGTCCTCCAGCAGTGTCAGTTTGGTGTGTGCTGTTAACAGGGCGGAATGGCTACAAATATCACAAGGCAATTTCGAGGAACAAAAGCAGCACTTGCAGACCACAGCCAGGGCCCAGGAGCGGGCTGTGCTCTCGAGGCAGAGCCCACGTGCTGGGGAGGTCAGGAGGAACCAGCTCCTCTTGGTGCCAGTGATGGTGGAGAGCAAGGGGAGCTGGTTGGGCAGCACCCCCAAAGAAGATCCAGGGGACACCAGAGAGGGGAACTGCTGTGGACGAAGGTGGCTCATTCCTGGGTGTAGGGCAGGGTGTGGATAAGTAGAGAAAGTGCCTGTTCTGCTCTGGCTTGTGCCCCCAAAGCCCTTCTGGAGACCTGGTCCCACCTTCAGTGAAATGGTGTGTGCATGTCCAAGGGAAAGCAAGAAGGGCGTCCGGATTTGGGAAAAGGTGGTTCGTGAAGAACTGTGACTGTGTAGTCTGGAAAACAGGGGCAGAGTAAGAAAAGGTGATGTCCCATGTGCTTTCAGAGCAGAGGCAATGTTTGCTGAGGATGTGAGAAGGAACTGCTCAGGTGAGCCCTGAAAGTTTAGGTCCTGCACAGGAGGGAACTTTTTGGCTCTAAAAATGCATCCCTGACGTCATTAATGATTTGGTGACAGGTGGCAGTTGGTGTAAGGATTAGATTGAAGCTGAGGAGGTTCCACCTGCCTTGCACACACCTGGAGTTTGGCTTTGGCATCAGGTTTCATTAAGCAGGACTGTTAAAGTTTGGGAAGACGACGACTTTGTCTTTTAAATAAGAACTTACATTTGGAGGTGGAAATGAAAGTGACCTTCCAAAGAGGAAGGAACAAACCGAATCTACCAATTCTGCTAATAATGGAAAGTCCTGTAGGGGAAGGATCTCCATGCATTCTCCAATTTGCATGAAGGGCTGGCTCTGTGGAGGAGCATTTTCTCTGCTAATGAAGCAGGTGACATGCTAATCAAGGCAATGCAAATAACTGCTCTGAAAGCACGGCCCCGGCACCGCCACAATGGCAAATCCCAGCCTCGGCCTCAATTCTGCAGCAAATTGGCGGAGGGCAGGACAAAGGACGGGGATTGCAGGCTCCGCGCTCGCGGCGGGGACGCGCCGTGGGGCGCGTGTGATGGAGACCTCGGCACATAATGGGGTCCTGATTGATCCCACCTCGGGGGAGTCGTAATACAGCTCCATAGAACAATTCCAGTCGTCTCCCCGAATGGGAAATGCTCCTACACACAAGCTTAATAGGGGTTTTTAAATTGCCCATTGTATTTCCGAACAAGAGAAACTTATTTGGAGTACTTTCCTTTTCACGTTTCCAACATAAGCAGCTGAAGACGTTGCCGTGTGTGTTCTCTGTGCTCTGCAGACCCACGGGCTCGTCTTCCAGGCAGGCACAGGATCACAGACCGGGTCAGGTTGGATGGGGTCACACTGGGTCGCCTGGTCCAACCCCCCTGCTCGTCCCAGAGCACGTCACACAGGACTGCCCCAGGCGAGGTCCCACGGGGGTGTCCGCGGAGCCCACCCTGCCAGAACAGCCAGAACAAGTTCCACCTCAAGTACCTGCTCCCACATGGACACAAAGGGGCTGTAAGCTCCTGCTGACAGACTGGGGTGGCTCCTTGTTTTCCCTGGAGACTGCCTGGCCGTGAGCCAGCGTGCCCAGGTTCTCACACGCCGCCGTGGAAGTTCCGTCCTGAGCTGAGAATTTCCTGGCCTGAAGAGCGCAGGGCGTAACCTTTACACTGAGCAGAGGGCATGTGCTGCCACAAACACGCTGACCCCTGGTGCCAGTCTTTGACCTTGGGCAGGAAGAGCTGTTGATATTTGGAGTAAAACCAGGACAAAGACTCTGTCTACATGAAACTGGCATTGTAACTGAGACATAAGGAGTAACTTCTGGAGAGATACTGTACTTCTGTGTCCAATTTTTTATTTACTACCTTTCCAACCTTCTTTCAGACTAAACATGTTAATGAGCTGAATGTCAAAACCACCCACGAGTAAACTGAGTTGTCCCATCCAGTAGGCTGATGTTGGTTTGTTTTTAGTAACTAGCAAGGATGCTGGAAAACCCCTATAAAGATTTCATTTTTAACAAAAAGTACCAAAAACTCCACCAGTTTTGCATCACAAAGTTGTGGTTAAAGTCAAGATTTGAGTCAAGAAGCATGTCTGTGGTTTTTGTGGGTGGATGCATCTCGGAATGACTATCAATCTGTCAGAGGGAGATCTGCATGTCATCTCTGCATATGACAAGCAAAATCTGCAGTGACAAATATCTTTCCAGTCCTTGGCTGCGCTGAGCTCGTACCCCTCCTGCCATCCACAGTCGCCAAGTCTTGTCAGCATATAGTGTTTGAACCCCTTTTTTTCTTCTAAACGGAGACAAACAGAGGAAGGAAAGACAACTCTGGAGCAGTGCCCTAGAGATGCCATCAAACGCCACTGCTAATGTGCTTAGTCACACACAAATCCTGATGTGCACATGGGAGATGCAGTACCTGCGTGAGTGGGACACTTGGAAATGAAATTATGTAAGGCTAGAGGGGAAAAAAATGAGAGTAACTCAGGACTGAGTCAAAGTAACTCTGGGAATGCACAAAAGAGAAGTTTTCAGAAACAAACCCCAGAGACTCTGTTTGATTTAGAGCTTAACTGCTGGTAGGGAAATGCCCAAACCTACACAAGGACTTGCTGAAGAGGAGACTGAGAAGGAATCTCATCAGTCCATACAAATAGCACCAAGGGGTATCAGGAGGATGGCTCCAGACACTTTTTGGTGGTGCCCAGTGACAGGACAAGGAGCAGTGGCTGTGAACTAAAGCACAACAAGTTTCACCTCAACATGAAGAACTCTCCGTGGAGGGTGGAGAGCACTGCAACAGCTGCCCAGGGAGTCTCCTGCTCTGGAGACATTCCAAACCCACCTGTGTCACCTGCTCCAGGGGGTTGGACTGGATCATCTCCAGAGGTCCCTTCCAACCCTGAAGATTCTGTGATCCTGTGATTGTGACGAGGATGCAGTGATGGCACGTGCTTCATGGTCCCCAGCTGCTTGGAGCTCCTGCTGCAGGTCAGCTCTGGCAGCTGGAGCCTCTTCTCCCTGCACTCAGGTCTCTGTGGGACAAATGGGAGCAGTTTGAGCCAGTGCAACACAGGAAAAAGGCCTGAAATTTCATGAGATGGGAAGAGCCCTCTGTGCCTGGCTGGAG